TATATATATATTTATTATTATTAATATTATTATTATAGTTATCTAGAATAAATCGTGAATTTATGGTGATATTCAATACTAGTTTATTGTTCGTATATGAATGATAATTATGATTACGAACTATGTACACACAATTACATTTACATGAATGTGGTATTTACTATGTTTATGTAAATGATTTATCTATAATCATATAGTGTCGAGAAGATTAAATGTATAAATAATGTTTTAATTCATTTTTCCATTCCCACTCTCGTAATATATTCTCAAGGATTATTTTTTAATCAATATATATATATGACGTCGTGAAATTTATTGCACAATTTGTATAGTTTGAACATTTTGATTAAAAGTTGTCAAGATTAAATCGAGGAATGGTTTCTTCCTTGCATTGAAATTTTATTCTGGCATCGACCTTGTTCAAGGACAATCGATTGAAGGTTGTATGAAATGTAATTTAACATGATTCATATTCGAATATTTCTTACAATGTTCGATATACATATATATACATATAATAAATAAATAAATAAATAAGTAAATATATATATATTCGTTATGAAAATAATATATTAATTCGTTAATATCAAAACTAATTTAAATGAATCACATATTTATAAACAAAAATTAATGAAACTTTTAATTAAATCGATTAGAATTATCAACATTTTTGTTGTCTCTTAGGAAATAGAAAAGATAAAAAAAATAAAATAATTTCGTTTAATTATTAATGATTATCATTTTTAAGGAGACAAGGAAAAACCTTGTGTCCGTTCCTAATTTATAAAATACCACGACGATAATAAAATGATAATAAAAAGATAATAAAAAGGAAAAGAAGAAAAAAAAAAAAAAAGAAACAGAAGGAACACGAAGATGATGACTAACTCGTGCTCACAGTGGTATATTTTTTTTTTATCGTATGTACACACACACACATATACATATATATATATATATATATATATATACATTGACGTAAACGTTCTTTTCTTAATGGATAATTACTTCCATCTGTATACCCACTTGTTTATTTTCAACTATTTCCGGGTATCTATTTTTTTCTCTTCTTGTAAGAAAATTCACGAATGATAAAAATGCATAAGAACACGAACAAACACAAACAAAACGAATAAAAGCAAAAGAAAAAAAATAAGCAAACGAAAATAATATAAAGAAAAAAAACAACAGGTGAGAACCAATCTCGAAGGAAGGAAGAAACAAACAAAAAAATGTTCTTTGTTCAATCGTTAAAGGATACGTTCATTTTATTCCTAATATTATTGAATCAAATTATTTTATTATAAATCTACTTTCAATCATTTTTTTTTTCTTTTACTTTGACACACAAGTAAAATACAAATATATATTAATAATAATTAATTTAAATTAAATAGATTATATACTTACGGTTTATGATTTATACAGTTGAAATGATTTAAAATAAGAAAGAAGAATTTCGATACGAGTTTTGTAGAATCTGACGACCGACAGTAAAAGTTCTCCACACCGTAGCACTGTCTCAGCTGAACTTGAGGAATCCCTACCACTTTCTGGGCTTATGAGAACTATTCCCCACCATCATCATCATCATCATCATCATCATCATCTTATATGTTTAAATGAAAGTACAACTTGTGTACTTCTTCAGATGGCGCGGTATCCTTCCTTACCATTTCTTATCAATTTATTTTCTTTTTTTTTTTCTTTTCAACACAACTGATTCTCTTCTGGTTTACTTCCTCTTGGTATTTCCCATAATCAAACAATTTTAACGATCGTAATAATATCGTTGTTACTTTAATACTCTCGAACTAGATCAATTTACATATCATTATTTGATTATATTTTCTTGTTTTTAATTATTTTGACCATTTTTATTAACCTACCACCACCTCCCCCCCCTCTCTCCCCCCTACTCCCACACCCATTCTCTTTTATTCTATCTCTTCTTATGGGGATAAAATGTGAAATTGGAAATACCCAAGGAACACTACAATCAATCAATTAATCCTTATTTGTAATTAAATGATTAAATGTTTCCAAATTTTATTTATTTTTTCTTTTGTGTGTGTGTGTTTTTTTGTTTGTGTTAACTGGACTTTCAAAAAGATTGGATTTTTTTATTGGACGTTGTATAGTAATTTTAGGAATGATGTGTATGCCTTTTTAAATAAAATTGTTTTTTTTGTTTGTTCCAGTCAATGGCGCCACCACAACAGCGGAATTTTATGAAAGGAAAATACGTTCTCCGGTGTTTCTCGTATATACGCAAGAAGTATTTATTACGTCATCGTTTTATAAATCCCGACGAATCGGAATTACCGATTTTTTGGTGTTAAGGTCAAGAGATTCTTCTTCTTCTTCTTCTCATCTCTCTCTCTCTCTCTTTCTTTCTATCTATCTCAGTGAATTTTAAATCTTTCAGCTTTTTTTTTTGATAATATATATATATATATATATATATATATATTTTATTGTATAA